TTCAGGGAGTTGGAGAGAGCAATAAGGTCTCCCCTCAGCCTCCTCTTTTCCAGGCTGAGTAACCCCAGCTCCCTCAGCCTCTCCTCATAAGACTTGTGCTCCAGACCCCTCACCAGCTTTGTCGCCCTTCTCTGGACCCGCTCCAGCACCTCAATGTCTTTTTTACGGTAGGGGACCCAAAACTGGACACAGCACCCCCTACAAAATCAGGCAGCACCCACACCCTGCCAACAGCAATACGGTCCCCCCCCACATCGCCTTCTCTCCCTCAGGCTGATCTCACCCGGCTCCTCCCGCCTGTCTCCACCTCCCGTGAGCTCCAGCCCCGCAGCCCCCACGGAGCTGGGCCCAGTCTTCAGGCTCGGTCTCTCCGGTACCGAAGAGAGAGCCGGGACCGGTTCGCTAGATCTACCGCCCGCACCCCCACCGGCCCGCAGCCCCACGGTAGGGGGCCCAAAACTGGACACAGCACACCCTGCCAACAGCAATACGGTCCCCCCCACATCCCCTTCTCTTCCTCAGGCTGATCTCACCCGGCTCCTCCCGCCTGTCTCCACCTCCCGTGAGCTCCAGCCCCGCAGCCCTCACGGAGCTGGGCCCAGCCTTCAGGCACGGTCTCTCCGGTACCGAAGAGAGAGCCGGGACCGGTTCGCTAGATCTACCGCCCGCACCCCCACTGGCCCGCAGCCCCGGAGCTGGCAGGTCACGGCTCCCCGCCGCCTCCCGCCCCCGTGAGCCCGACTCACCGCTCGGAACCAGCGTCTGGAGCCGGGCCGGCACCTACCGCCACGGCCCCGCGGCCGCCGCCATCTTTGTTGTGGGGCCGCGCAAAGCACGCTGGGACATGAAGGCCGCCGCGCAAAGCAGGCTGGGAGATGAAGGCCTCCGCTGCTCCGGGACTCCACGCAGCTGGTCAAGCCCCGGAAAGAGAACAGCGGCGGCCCCTCGCTGCTCCAGCCGCTTCCCCGATCCACAGAGCAAGGAGTGGGGAAGGAGCCGCCGGGCACGGGCGCCGATGCGAAGCGAAGCGAAGACCGGCCGGCAAAGGCGGGCGCGCACAGCCTGCCGGGAATCATAGTGCGGCGCGGTGCTGGCGACGGGGCGCGCACTGCCTGCTGGGAGGGCGGAGTCACCCCCCCCCGCGCGCAAGGCCTTCTGGGGATTGTAGTTTTCTGTCGGCCGCGGTGCGCGGCGGGAGTCAGCCTGGGGTGAGGGGTTGCCATGGAGACCGCGGGGCCTGCGCTGCCTGGCCGGCTTCAGGGCCTGATGGAGGCTCCGCTTCTGCTGGGTGGTGTGCCTGGCAGGGGAGGAGAGCAACAAACCTCCACCATCACCCAGAGCTCTCAGGCCACCCCTAGGGACAGGCCCCGCTGAAGTGTTTTGAAAAAACGAGACAGGGATGAAGCACAATATGACAAAGGCTGGGGCGGCTTCTCCTCCGGCCCCTTCTGGTCCCATTCCTTCCCTGAGGTTGTGAGGCCCAGTCAGGTGCAGGCCAGGGCTCGTACGGTCACCACAAACAGGCAGATAAAACTTTCTAAAACTCAATTTAAAGTTTCGGAAGGCAGGCATTCCTTATCACGGTGCCAGGTGCACGGGGGATCGCTCTGCCTATTGTGTGCACCGAATGCTGTTGTCCAATTAAGTTTATACACAACAGGTATACATATTCAATGTAATTCCAATAAATCATTAGCACATTCATTAAATTTCTGAGAGTTCATTTACATACTCGTGAGACCCCACCTGGAATACTGTGTCCAGCTTTGGAGTCCTCAACACAGGAAGGACATGGACCAGCTGGAACAGGTGCAGCGGAGGGCCACGAAGATGATCAGAGGGATGGAGCACCTCTCCTACAAAGACAGGCTGAGAGTGTTGGGGCTATTTGGCCTGGAGAAGAAAAGGCTCCAGGGAGACCTTATAAGTGGCCTTCAAGTACCTGAAGGGGGCCTACAAGAAAGCTGGGGAGGAAATCTTTGCAAGGGCATGTAGCAATAGGATGAGGGGAATGGTTTTAAACTAGAGCAGGGTAGGTTAACTCAGACATTAGGAAGAAGTTCTTCACCATGAGGGTGGTGAGATGCTGGAACAGGTTGCCCAGAGACGTGGTGGAGGCCCCATCCCTGGAAGTACTCAAGGTCAAGCTTGACGACGCTCTGAGCAATCTGGTCTAGTTAAAGATGCCCCTGCTTACTGCAGGGGGGTCAGACTGGGTGACTTTTAAAGGTCCCTTCCAACCCAACACATTCTGTGACCCTATGATCATGCCAGCAGGGCCACAGAGCCACAAGCAGCAGGCATGCTGACATGGGGTCCCTCCTTCCCACTGCAGCCATCTGGTGCAGTCCCCCTTCCTTTGGGGTCGTCCATTCCTCACCCAAATTCAAAGTTCCCTCTGCCCCCTCGCACCGGTGATCCCGTGTGAGAGGTAAAAGAGACTCTTTATCTCGCTCTCCCTTGAACCCAGCAAAGTTTAACTTACCAAGAAACCCCTGCCACATAACCCAAGCCAACTGGGGGGGGTCACTGGCAAACTCTCAAATGCCCAGAGACGCCTCTAAGGTACTGATTAACTTCACCCGATCTGCTCTTGCTTTTGCACCCACTCCCTTCACATTAAGGGCGTCGAAAGGCTTGGATTTCGAATTTCTCATGCTGCAGAAGGGGAGGGGAGGGCAGGACATTTCTCTGCCAACCCGTCTTCACCAAATGGGGCAGGCACCAAAAAAAAAAAAACAAACCCTTAAAAAATATATCAAAATAAAACTTGTCATTGGAATATGCTTCTTACAAAACCAGTCATTTTTCCAACATAATTTTTAAGTGCAGTTTATATAAAGCTGGAAATAACAACATTTTAGTTATCACTCACTTTTTTTCCCTCACAGTTCATAACGATGGAAAAGATTTTGAGAGTTTTCGTTTTTTTCCACTTTTACTTCAGAGCTTCTTCCCCTACTCTGAAGCTCAAATATTTTGTTTTCTGACAAAAGTTATCCAAGTGCCGGAAAGAAAACTGCATTTTGCCGCTTAGTCAGTAATTTCCCCAAGCAAGGAAAAACTTACAGACATTGGTAAAGCGGGAACAAGGAAGAAAAAGGCTTATAGAAAAACACACAGAAAATGATGTAATTAGTTTCATTGCATTGACCATGGTACAGAAGGGAGTGGAAAGAAGTTGTGTGCCTGAGGGGCAGAGGTGGCATGTCTCTAAATATCCTATGCTTCACTATTTTTCCATGTCACGGTGCTATTTAGGCATCTAATCTTTTTTTAGCATTGAAACAGGATCACAGAATCCCATGGGGTGGGAAGGAACCTCTGGAGATCATCTAGTCCAACCCCCTGCCAAAGCAGGTCCATCTACAGCAGGTTGCACAGGAACGTGTCCAGGTGGGGTTTGAATGTCTCCAGAGAAGGAGACTCCACCACCTCCCTGGGCAGCCTCTTCCAGGGCTCTGCCACCCTCACAGGAAAGAAGGTCCTCCTCATGTTGAGCTGAAACTTCTTCAAGTTTGTGCTCATTTCTTCTTGTCCTGTCCCTGGGCACCACTGAAAAAAGACCGGCCCCATCCTCTTGACACCCTCCCTTGAAGTATTTCTAAGCATTGATCAGATCCCCCCTCAGCCTTCTCTTCTCCAGACTAAAAAGACTCAAGTCCCTCAGCCTCTCCTTGTCAAAAGAAATAACGTCAAAAGAAATGCTGTGAAGCTGATGGCTCTTGCAAACCCACGCTTGCACTGAAGCTGCTCATTAGCTAAGTCAGGTTCAATACCTGGGCTCACTACTGAACAGTTCAAGCCATGCAGGGAGTAGTAGTCTATAAACCACATTTATTACATGACTTAAATGGCTGGCCCCAACTTTTCATATAGGCAAGTGGTGAGGAGTTTTCAGCTGCCTGAGGGCCATCTTGTAGGCTGTGAAACAACTGAATTACTGCTCCGAAGCAAGAACCTGGGCTTCAGGTTCCATGAACACTTCCCTGGAGGTGTTCAAGACCAGATTGGATGGGATTTTGGACAACCTGGTCTAGTGGGAGGTATCCCTGCCCATGGCAGGGGCGTTGGAACTAGATGGTTTTCAAGGTCTCTTCCAACCCAAGCCATTCTATGATTCTATGATCTCTGTGGTCTGAGGGGACAACTGAGACTGAACCTCGTATTTTATGCTCCATTACATATTTTTGTGGCTGACCAAAGTGCCATGACCCTTTGCATGAGTCTGGATCCCAAACAGAAGGAGCCATCAAGGGTTTGACTGCAGAGATTACTGATAGCTCAGAAGAGTTCATCTGCCCTTTCCTCTTACCCTGAGGGTCTCCTGTTCTGTCCTCAGAGAAGTTATCTGAACATCCATGTCTCCAACCGGATAGCTCAGAAGAGTTCATCTGCCCTTTCCCCTTACCCTGAGGCTCTCCTGTTCTGTCCTCAGAGAAATTATCTGAACATCCATGTCTCCAACCACAATGAAATTTCTTGAGGGTGTTTTAATTTGTTACTCTGGTGTTGGAGTTGTTTGCACCAGACTTGCATTCCCTGGCCCTGGCCAAGGGATAAAACAGGACACGTCAACAATGGAGAGGAAAGTCCTATAAAATCTGACTAGCATGCTGAGGAGCTCGTTCTCCATTGAACACTGAGCGACTCCAATGACTCAGCACAGGAAAGGGTCACCGCGCTTGGCTTTACAAGTAAAGAGAAAAAAAAACCAAACCAACAAAACCGAACAATCTACAACCCAAAGCAGTGAATCATTAACTAAAAGGTTATGACAAAGCAGCACAGCTCAACAGATAAACCCACTGGGTTCCTTCAAAAGCATCTTCAGGCTACCGAAGGGGAAAATCTCTTTTAACAACCCGTACTCTGACCACAGAAACATGGCTTTGCGGCTTTGCTGTGCTTGGATTTTCCTCCTCCTCCTTCCTGGCCCCTCGGATGGAGGGAAGCTCCTGGTGGTGCCCATGGTTGGAAGCCACTGGCTCAGCATGCAGCCGGTGGTTGAAAAGCTGAGCGAGAAGGGACACGAAGTGGTGGTGCTCATGCCAGAAGTGAGCTGGCAGATGAAGGCGGCACAGGGGTACACGGTGAAAACGTACCCCGTGACCCAAACGTTAGAAGAGCTGGATGCTGCCTTCCTCGAGTACGTCGCCACTCACCTGCAGGCCCGGCCTTTCCCGCTGAACGTTCTGGCCCAGTACAACATTTCCGTGCACGTTTTCAGTACGTTCTTCGTCCAGTGCAAGGACCTCTTCAGCAGCAAGGAGACCCTGCAGTACGTCAGTCAAAGCGGCTTCGACGCCATCCTAACAGACCCCGTTTTTCTGTGTGGAGCAATACTTGCTAATCATTTTTCTCTTCCGTATCTGTTCTTCATGAGAGGATTTCCTTGCAACTTACACTACGAAGCACCGCAGAGCCCAAGCCCTCTGTCCTACATCCCAAGGCTGTTTACCTTCAACACGGACCACATGACTTTTTTCCAGAGAGTGGAAAATGCACTGGTTTCACTCCTGGAGCTTGAGTACTGTAATGGTTTCTATGCAGATGCTATAAAATTGTCCTCCGAAGTTCTTCAGCGAGATGTATCCCTGCTAGACCTCCTGAACTCTGCTGCTGTTTGGCTCCTGAGATACGACTTCGTGTTTGAGTACGTGAGACCAGTGATGCCCAATATGGTCTTTATTGGAGGTATAAACTGTGCTCAGAAGAAAACGTTGCCTAAGGTATGTTCTTTTTCCTCCAATTTATACATTTGCCAATGAAATGTGATTACATCGTTTCTGGAAGTTTAGCGCTATTGAATTTTTTCTATTTCTGGTAATGATTTAATACAGCCAGGTTTTGGCAGTTGTTTTCCACTGGCTGAAATAAAATTACCTTGATTAAGGCAGATGACTTATTTGAAGTCTTCAGTGAATTTACATTTTTCACCAATCAGACACAGTTTTGATTTAATTTTTGTGGACTCTGACATATATTTCTTTCACCTGACCAGGAACCCATGCTCTGAGAGTCATCTTTTGTTTTTCATTCTAGACTCAGCAAAGTCAGTTAATTTGCTTTGATTGTGTTTTCATGACATATGGTTTCCAAACTGCCTGTCTTTAAGTTACATCTATTTGTAAATCATGGTGAAACATAATTGTCATAGTGATATGGGAAGAATTAATCTAAAATGTGCATTTGGTGAAAGACACTTGTATGCAAAACTCACCTAAGTCTTTGTACCTATTTCTTCAGATTTGCTTTTACCAGAGTTGTAAATCATGGTGAAACATAATTGTCATATTGATATGGGAGGAATTAATCTAAAATGCGCATCTGGTGAAAGACACTTGTATGCAAAACTCATGTAAATCTTTGTACCTATTTCTTCAGATTTGCTTTTACCAGAGTTATTCTGCAGGGCTTTTAAAGCTGATCTGGAAACTTAAATTGAATTTGGTAGTTGCCATATAGTCTCCAAAACAATTAGTAGTGCTAGAGATTTCTTCCCAGGCATAATGCAGGACACAAACGCCTTTCCTTTGAAATTATTCCCTTGTGAATTGTGGTCACACAATATCAGTGCACAATTGCAATACAGTATCTTTGAGCTGAAGGGGTTTTTTTTTCTTTCTTCTTTCAGCTTTGTTTTATACTCTTTGACAGGTTTATGCAGAGTCCACTGAACTCAATAAAGAATAAGGCAAATAAAGAATGATATTATAAATTAGAACAGTAGAATAATATTATAAATAAGGCATTCTCTCACATGAGGCTCAAGAGAGTGGCATTTAAATTTAGGGATTTAAGAGACAAATTCTTGCTGGTTGCATGCCATACGTCTTTACTTTTACAACCTGAAGGTCAGAGCTTGCTGCAGGGGTGGAACAGCCCTGTCCTTATTTTATACCTGACATCTACCATCTTCATGCTGACCTTTGTCATTTGGTGGAAATCATGTTTTCCAGATCTTGAAAAACCTCATGAATTCCTTCTGTATTCAGTCTAGCTTTTCTCGTTACATTTTCTACAGACAGCAGAGGAATTTCTCCTATTTCACTTTGAACAGTGCCCAGGAGCAAGGTGATAACGCAGGAGGTAGAGTGTAAGCAAAAGTGAAGTGATTCATGTAGGAAAAAAAAAAATCTACCTATCCATACACAGCGGTAAGCCTTGGGTTGATCATTACTGTTCAGAAATATAATCATCTGATAAGAATAGATAGTTCTCCAAAACCCAGTAGCCCATTGCTCAACAGACAAGAAAACAAAAAGTCAGGATGACTTGGAAAGGCTGGCAGCGTGAGTGGTCCCTCGAAAACAAAAAGTCAGGATGACTTGGAAAGGGAGAGAGAACCAGAGATTCAAAATGAGGTTTCTTTTCTCAGATAAGGGGTTTAAACCCCAGACTTTTCTGTTACACCACTTTCCACAGGCAGAAAAATCAGGCATTGTGGCCTCATTCCAGAGTATCACACACGGTCCCGTGGGAGTACCTGCTGTAGAGCTGAAGGCATCAGGGTGGTGAGGAGCTTATGCTTTTGCAGAACGGGGCATCTGTGTTTTATCCCTCACAGAGATGGGAATTAAATTGCAATTCCCTGGCATTCCTGAGCCACAAGCATTTTCTGCAGCCTCCAGTCTCAGAGGGAGTAGGAGAACTGGCCCTGGGGGGAAAGCAAACTGCACTTTGACTAGATAACCAGGCTGGCTGCCTCAAGCTTTGTTTCCTCTTGTCCCACTTTGCACAGGCATCTGTCTTAGTAGAAATTACATATTCATTAATAGACACATAAATCCAGTTGCCAAGTCCCGATGCATCTGGGGGTTTAACACAAGGCTGGAAGGAAATCACACCCAAGATCTTGACTGAGCAGAGGTCCTGTGCCAGCCCACCCTCTAATGACTCCAGAAGGACCTGAAGGCTGGCAGTTTAAGGAGCCATGAACTCAGACTGTGAGCCCTGAGACACTTTGAGAAATACCTCCTCTTCAGCCAAAGTTAATGAAAAGTTGATTTCAGGTCCCTTCCAACTCTAAAAAATTCAGTGAAATTCAGTGAAGTTCAGAAACGTAAGCTACAAAAATAAAGTTCATATGATTGGATCTAAGCAAAGTTTAGAAACGTAAGCCATAGCAACCTTTCAAAGCTGTTCGGGTATTTTTTTAACCTAAAACACCCATCACTTATTTAAACAGCTGGTTAATTTAAAACACTGAAATTTAAGCCTCAAGCTTTGTTTCCTCTTGTCCCACTTTGCACAGGCATCTGTCTTAGTAGAAATTACATATTCATTAATAGACACATAAATCCAGTTGCCAAGTCCCGATGCATCTGGGGGTTTAACACAAGGCTGGAAGGAAATCACACCCAAGATCTTGACTGAGCAGAGGTCCTGTGCCAGCCCACCCTCTAATGACTCCAGAAGGACCTGAAGGCTGGCAGTTTAAGGAGCCATGAACTCAGACTGTGAGCCCTGAGACACTTTGAGTAATATCTCCTCTTTAGCCAAAGTTAATGAAAAGTTGATTTTTTTGGGCAGCTCGTAAAAATAAAGTTCATATGATTGGATCTAAGCAAAGTTGCAGTCCTGAGTAACATGCTCTAGCTCTAGGCAATCCTGCTTCAGCAGGGGAGTTGGACTAGATGATCTCTATGGTCCCTTCCAACTCTAAAAAATTCAGTGAAATTCAGTGAAGTTCAGAAACGTAAGCTACAGCAACCTTTCAAAGCTGTTCGGGTATTTTTTTAACCTAAAACACCCATCACTTATTTAAACAGCTGGTTAATTTAAAACACTGAAATTTAAGTAAAGTAGGATTTAAATAGGTAGTTAAGTGAAGGGGAAGTATAAGTGAATACAGACCCTGTGGTTTGTCCCTCCAGCACAAGGATTAAGAAAGCAGGTCCTGTTCTGAAACCCTCCTGCCAGAGCAGCATCTGGGAAACTCTGATAAGGAGACATTTCTAACTGGTTTTTCTGAAATTTGCCGGCAGAGTGGAATTCAAAGACTTTGGCAAGAAACCAAAGGATACAGTAAGCAGTACCAGAGCATGGACACATATCTGCTCCACCCAGACGTGCTGCCAGCCCACCCTCTAATGACTCCAGAAGGACCTGAAGGCTGGCAGTTTAAGGAGCCATGAACTCAGACTGTGAGCCCTGAGACACTTTGAGTAATATCTCCTCTTTAGCCAAAGTTAATGAAAAGTTGATTTTTTTGGGCAGCTCGTAAAAATAAAGTTCATATGATTGGATCTAAGCAAAGTTGCAGTCCTGAGTAACATGCTCTAGCTCTAGGCAATCCTGCTTCAGCAGGGGAGTTGGACTAGATGATCTCTATGGTCCCTTCCAACTCTAAAAAATTCAGTGAAATTCAGTGAAGTTCAGAAACGTAAGCTACAGCAACCTTTCAAAGCTGTTCGGGTATTTTTTTAACCTAAAACACCCATCACTTATTTAAACAGCTGGTTAATTTAAAACACTGAAATTTAAGTAAAGTAGGATTTAAATAGGTAGTTAAGTGAAGGGGAAGTATAAGTGAATACAGACCCTGTGGTTTGTCCCTCCAGCACAAGGATTAAGAAAGCAGGTCCTGTTCTGAAGCCCTCCTGCCAGAGCCAGCAGCATCTGGGAAGCTCTGATAAGGAGATATTTCTAACTGGTTCCTCTGAAATTTGCCGGCAGAGTGGAATTCAAAGACTTTGGCAAGAAACCAAAGGATACAGTAAGCAGTACCAGAGCATGCACACGTACCTGCTCCACCCAGACGTGCTTGTCATAGAATCACAGAATCATTCAGGTTGGAAAAGACCCTTGGGATCATCGAGTCCAACCATCAACCCCACTCTACAAAGTTCTCCCCTACACCATATCCCCCAACACCACATCCTAATGACAAACTGATCCAAGGATGGTGATTCAACCACCTCCCTGGGCAGCCTGTTCCAGTCTCTGACCACTCTTTCTGTGAAGAATTTCTTCCTAATGTCCGTTCTAAACCCACCCTGTTGCAGCTTGAAGCCCTTCCCCCTTGTTCTACTGCTATTTACCTGTGAGAAGAGACCAGCACCAACCTCTCTACAATGTCCTCTCAAGTAGTTGGAGAGAGTGAAGAGGTCTCCCCTCAGTCTCCTCTGCCTGAAACTAAACAGTCCCAGCTCCTTCAATCACTCTTCATATTCTCCAGGCTCTTCACCAGCTTCGTTGCCCTCCTCTGCACCTGCTCCAGCACCTCCATATCTCTCTCTTGGATTGAGGTGCCCAAAATTGGACACAGCACTCCAGGTGTGGCCTCACCAGGGCTGAGCACAGGGGCACAATCACCTCCCTACTTCTGCTGGCCACACTATTTCTAATCCAAGCCAGGATGCCATTGGCTTTCTTGCCCCCCTGGGCACACTGCTGGCTCATGTTCAGCATCTTGTCAATTAGAACCCCCAAGTCCTTTCCAGCCACCCTTCCCCCAGTCTGTACCAATGCAGGGGGTTGTTGTGGCCCAAGTGCAGGACCTGGCACTTGGTCTTGTTGAAGCTCATCCCATTAACGTTGGACCATCGATCCAACCTATCTAAGTCTCTCTGTAGAGCCTTCCTATCTTCATGCAGATCAACGCTCCCACTTAACTTGGTATCATTTGCGAACTTACTGATGATACCTTCTATGTCATTATCAAGATCCTCAATGAAGGTGTTTTCAAAAGCCTGCCTGACCCAAATGTCACTTTGTGTGACTTCAG